TTAAAAAAAATTTATTTTTATGTAATTTAGATGATGTTTGGGAATCACAAACTGTCAATAACGTAAATGTGTTTTTACGCATTTTAAAGAAAAAAATGAAACAAGTTCTATATACTGATAGGTTCAGCCAGGTATGTACTTTAGAGAAACTGACATTTTATACGGAATTTAAATTTTCTTTGGAACCTGAAAAGTATTTATTTTGTGTGAAAGAGCATTCTCATGTTCAAATGTTAGCTCTTCGTATTGAGACAGATAGAAGAAATAATGTAGATAGGAGTGAACGCATTTGCTTGCTTTGTAACAGTAACAACATTGAAAATGAATACCATTTTTTTACTTATTTGTTCCTTTTTTGTTAATTTAAGAATAAAATATATTCCTGCTAACTTTTTAAATCCCCCAACAGTCAGTAAATATTACAAATTAATGAGTATAAAAAATTCAGATCTTCTTCAAAGACTGGGAGCCTTTACTTTTCACGCAATTTGCGAAAAGAGCTACAAGTATTGTCAATTGTTTAAAAATTGTAATTTTATTTTCAAATATAAATAATGTATGTAGATATTATGGGCCGATGGCCTTCTATTTGAAATAAAGACCATATATATATAATATTCTGACCACAAACAAAACATTATTCCAGATGAACCCTCCCATTGTGGAGTCTGAGCTGTGTACTATCTGTTTTTCATGCTCTGAATCTCTTATCCATTTGTTTTACCACAGTCCTTCCACTGTGGTTTTACCAATACCAATGTACCCAAGATTTTTGAGAAACAATGTATATGACGGGAGCAAGCTTGCCCTCCCGGGCACATGTAGGCGTGAGTAGGCCCTCGCCGGCTGAACGGCATCAGATCTTAATAACGCCTGACAGAATAGTGTCTCGTCGGCAAGATCAATACTGCGAATTCGTGTATTGGGTTTGGAGCACCGCGGAGGGCGCAACTCACGCGACCTCGTGAGGCTAATGATCGATACTGAGTATTTTACACGCTTGTATTGACACTATCGAAGTACAATAGTCGATACTCGTGATTATACAAAATGAAGACAAACATTTTTTGTCAACTAATATCGAACAGTCAGTAGTCATTAAAGGATTTGCGCCCTCTTTGTTACTGCATGTATCTGCCTGGACTACATACAGCGAAGAGACTACTACGTCGAGATTTAAACAATATAAGGATATTTACACGGGATCTATATACATATTTTTAATCCATTACAATTGATTTGCAGCAGATGTTTATTTTTCTAGTTACAACTTATGTAAATTTGAAAACAAAGTATGTAACCTATTGTAGTAAGTTATCAACGTCTAGCACTACTTCAGCGTCAAAACAGTGCCTGGAATTGCTGTAAAATATCGTTGAACATTGTGGCACCCAGGAAAAGAAAATGGAAACATAGAAACACGACACCCAGTGGTGGCGGCACGCACCTCAAAAAAATGGGGGCGGGTCGACCTTCCAAAATCAAGCTGTAACCCTTTGCGTCAGCGGTATAACGGAACCTCCGGGTAAAAGAAACGATGCAGACGAATTTTAATTTTCTACCGAGATACTACTACATCTTAATATAGTATAATTGAAACAATTTACTAACCGTCTGCCATATGATTTATCGTCAAAACAATCACTCTCAATGGGCTAAAATTGTAACGAATTAAGTCTGAATATCCAATGTAAATACCCATCGATTATCCAGAAATGACAATCTAAGTGTCGCTTTCCTCTAATAATACATGTAGTGTTTGTTAATGTAATGATATATGAGCGTACACTATGGCGATAGAAGTATCGACTGGTCTACCTTGAATGCTCATAATACCAACTAGCTAATATTTACGTCACGTGTGTGTTCTTATTCGTACCACAAACGTAATGTTGTTTCACCATTGCAGTTGTGACAAAACGCTTCTGTGACGTAGATCAGCGAAAGCAACTCGCCCTCTAGTGACAAATCGCTTATGTGGCGTAGATTAGTGAAAGCAATGTCGCCCTCTGGTTACAAATCGCTTCTGTGACGTAGATCAGTGAAAGCAATATCGCCCTCTGGTTACAAATCGCTTCTGTGACGTAGATCAGTGAAAGCAATGTCGCCCTCTAATGACAACTCGCTTTTGTGACGTAGATCAGTAAAAGCAATGTCGCCCTCTAACGACAACTCGCTTTTGTGACGTAGATCAGTAAAAGCAATTGTCACACTCTAGCGCTGATCAGTAAAAGCAATGTCGTTCGTAATTTACAAAGTAGCAAATCTCTCTCAAAAACAATAACTTTTATTGACGAATGCTATTCTTTCTATCATCTACATAAAAAATGATCTTCATCGTCAGAGACTATGAAAGACCTTCATGGTGGGGGGGGGGGTGCCGTAGAGGGCGAAGTATAATTCAGTTTGAACGTGGTCAAAATAGAAAATGGAAATTATATAAAAGAGTCAGATTTCAGGGGAACCAAGAAGACGTGAAAAGTTGAACATCCTCTTTGTCATACACCATATACACATACAGACTATATCATTAGGAAAAGTAATGATAGTTTATTTACGAAAATAAGAAATATAGGATTTAGATGGTTGCTCAGCTAATCAGAGTTTAGCTTCCTGTGTTCTTATGTTACGTTTTGATGGTGGATCTAGGTCATAATTAATCACACCGAAATAAATATTTAGAAAAGAAAGGAGATAGAACTCTGCTTGTTTGTGTTTTGTATCTCGTGGTTTATGCTGATGCTTCTTCTTCCTCCTCCTCATCAAATTCACCCTCCTCTTCAGCTGTTGCGTCCTGGTACTGTTGGTATTCAGATACCAAGTCATTCATGTTGGATTCAGCTTCAGTAAATTCCATCTCATCCATACCTTCACCAGTGTACCAATGCAAGAAAGCTTTACGACGGAACATAGCAGTGAACTGTTCGGATACACGCTTGAAAAGTTCTTGGATAGCAGTGCTGTTACCAATGAAGGTAGAGGACATCTTAAGACCACGGGGTGGGATGTCGCAAACAGCAGTCTTCACATTGTTAGGAATCCATTCAACGAAGTAACTACTGTTTTTGTTCTGGACGTTTAAAAGCTGTTCGTCAACTTCTTTCATGGACATACGACCACGGAAGATTGCAGCCACTGTCAGATAACGACCATGACGTGGATCACAGGCAGCCATCATGTTCTTGGCATCAAACATTTGTTGGGTTAATTCTGGCACAGTAAGGGCACGGTATTGCTGGCTACCACGGCTGGTCAATGGAGCAAAACCAGGCATGAAGAAGTG